GCAGTCCTCAAGATAAAGATGGGCTCCAGATCTAATACAACAGTAAATTCAACATTTCTTGTTATTTTTGACCAGAAAGAATTTCTATTAATTTCCCATCAACTCAGCTATGCATTTAAAATATCTCATTTTTCATTTTCAGAATTTATTATAGTATTATGCTGTGATTTGTTATTATGAACATATCTCTAGAAACAATGGCCCTATTATATCTTTTACAAATAGATTTCAACGTTCAGAGGGACTTATATTGGAATGTAAACTCCAGCTTCTTCCTCTCATTAGTCTTTTTATTATCTTCCATTTTACTCTTAAATTTCTACATTTAGAAGAATAAATTCCTATAGTTTTGATTTCTCTTGGAGGTTAAAGAAACTTTATCTAGTGGCTGGTAAATAAACAACCTGTGTTGTTGAGGTTCAGTCTTCCCTGTTCTGAGAGTTGAATGGCCATTACAGAGTGGCCAGTATTACCTTTGGAATCCCTCCATTTTTCTTAAGAGCTGTGAAGAAAATACCACATGTAATCTTCCAAAATGGGTGCTTTTTTTGCTTCATGAGGTGATTTTGGGAATCTATGAGTTTCTTGGGCATATCAAACTTCCTAAGGGCAGTTCTATGGCTTGAAAATCCTCCTGTGGGTTTTATGTGTTTGGAGAAGTTCTAAAATTTAATAATACAAAGATACTGACTTGTGAAAAATCCCAGAATGATGTGTTTGGTGCCTTCTGGTTCTGCATGTGTGCAAGCTCTTGACATTCTTCCCTTTAAACCACTTCTTATACAAGAAGCAATAGCAATATAAAGGAGGAATCTTACTGCTATTTCACAGAAGGTGCTAGTGACATGACTGACTTCTGCTGGGGAAACTCAAGTGTTAATAGTCAAGCCTGGCAGAAAAAGATTTTCAGTTTATTTCACATGTTTTAATGTGTAATTGTAATTTTATATGTATATGCTATTAATGATTTTCTCTTCACAGTTACCTACTTTTAAACAAACCTTTAACTTTACCTTTAATGGTGTGTTTATATAGACTTCTGGTTGGGTCACAAAGCTGTTTAAAACTATGAAAATTCCTCGCTATTTAGAAAATGCCCTTCACCCACATTTGGGGTAAGTATTGGAGGTGTAATATGCCAATTATAGATTACCTTTTTATAGTAAAAATATTCTAGAATTCCACACTGATACTCATATTATAGAAATATGTCTAAGAAGGGGCTCCTAGGTGGCTCAGTCTGTTGAGCATCCAACTTTGTCTCCGATCATGATCTCACGGTTTGTGAGTTCAAGCCCCACGTTGGGCTATGTGCTAACAGTTCAGAGGCTAGAGTCTGTTTCAGATTCTTTGTTTTCCTTTGTCTCTCTGCCCCTCCCCTGCTCACATTCTGTCTCTCTCTCTCTCAAAAATTAATAAAAACATTAAAAAACAGAAAAATGTCTTAGAGTTAATAGGCAAAATGAAAGACTTTCTTCCATATTTCATCTGTGGTTAATAAAAAATTTAATCATTACACTATGAGAGAAATTAGCAGCATTGTCAAAAGGAAAAAAAATCCAGATGAGATTTGGAAAGAAGAGGAGAATTGATGGATTAGACAGCTGCTTCTAAGAAGAAGCTGGAGGTGTAATAATATTGTGTAAATTATCAGAATTAATTTTGGTACCAGTTAAATTGTACGATGTGAGAAAATATGTGGGGGAAAGGAGTCTGAAAAGTGGTTTGGAATAAATAACACACAGGTTGTTAAAATTTTTTGAAAATTTCATACTCTGGTTTCTCTTCAGATCGAATAAATCTTTCGCTTTTTACTAAAATTTTTTGAAAATTTTGACATGAGGGTTTAATAAATGACTTACAATTTACATCAAGTATTTATGTAGAATGTGGGGTGCCTGGGTGGCTCAGTCGATTAAGCATCAACAAGATCATAATCTTAGTGGTTCCTGACTTCGAGCCCCGCTTCAGGCTCTGCAGTTGGGATTCTCTCTCTCTTTCTTCCTCTCTCTGCCCCTTGCTCACTTGTGCCCTCTCTCTCTCAAAAATAAAATAAAATAAAGTATTTAGAATGAATCACCAAATGGATGGTCATTGAGAGACTAGGAGCTTAAAGTAGTTTAAAGAAGCAGGTCATTCCTATGGAAAGAGGAAACACTTTGAGAAAGATTAGAGTTGAAACATTAAGGCAGGATGGACTTGAGATTTGAATATATAAATATGTAGAACACTACACGTAGAAAAAGCCCACAGCACCTCTCAAATAGGACTGCCGTTGATTTTGCCAAAAGGAGACCACTCCCCATCCAGAAAAAATCCAAAACAAAAACCAGTTTTTAATTTCTATTAAATAAGAAGAGAAAGGCACAATGGAGGTTGTGAAGACCATGCAGTTGCAAGAAGATAATTGGAAAAAACCAGAAACTATTTTAGTAGTGAAAATCCTCAAAAATGTTTGTCTGAGACTGTTTTACTTAGCCGCCTTCACACTTGACACCCTTCATCATGGAGAACATGCCAATTCAGTTAGTCTGGCCAAGAAGAAAGCAGTTAAAAAATATCAAGTTGGCAAGTATAAATTGTAGTATCACAAATGGACAGTGTATTCCAAGCCAAGCACATTGTTTTTTGCAAAAGTATGGAATATACTGGTTAAAATTAATTTTTGTAGCCATTAGTATTTTTGTAGTCATGAATATGTGTCATAGAACATCCTGAGGGCAATATTTGAAATATGTAGGTCCTGCTTCACATTTTATGGTGACCTACATATTGTTCATAATTTTTTTTTTTAATTACAGTATTATTCTTGTGGATAATGGCTTACTTTGAAAATGAAAACATCATCCGGGAATTCTAAAAGTAACAAATAGTTGAAAGAGGTTACAAACTAATTCTCAATGTGATTGTTGCATTCTAACCTAATGATAGAAGACAAGTTAATCTTTGATCTTAAAAAATGAATGGCATCAAATTCAAAATTAACATATACAAGTTAGATTGCATCTGAGAGAGTAGTATGACACAGAATGAGTTTAACTCTAAAAGAGAGACTTATAATTTGTTTAAAATTTTTAAAACGATCATTCTTATGTCCTAACATTGAGGGGTTTTTGCAATACAAACACAACTTTCTTTCACTTGTTGTCTTTATGTTTTTCCTTTATATATTTTGAGATTTTATATAAGAGACTTTAGCTTCAGCTGTCAAATAGTGGTTAAACACATATTTGAAACTGAAAAGCAAAACTAAAATAAGCATTTCCTTGTGGTATCATGAGCATACCATATAACAATAGCCAAGACATTTTCTATTCCTGATTTCTTATAGAGTCTGAGGGAGAAGACAAAACCAATAGTCCAAAGTCCATTAACGTTTTACTCATTTATCATGATTACCTCAAATTCCTCTATTTTGAGATCCTTGCTATTTTGTGCAAAATAATTGTCATGGCAGATTATAATGCAGATATGCAATTCATCAATGCCTCTAAGTATCACTTTAACCTTTGGATCACACAGAATGACCAGTAGGGAATGGCCCAGTTATTCTAAAGTCATGTAGAATTATCTTCCTGGTTGTTCTTTCTAATGTTGACAGATAATGAAGGATTGTCTTTAAAAAAAATGCCCATTAAACACTCTCATGTAATTCTTGAAGATATGCTGTTGAAGCTGATCATAACAATATACTAGGCTAGAAATTAAATTTGCTTTTCTTATAGACATTGTGAATGTCATAACTACCATGTTTTCTTCATTACTTTGTGTATTGGTTGCTTGCCAGTCCTGACATAATAGAATACCACAGAGTGGGTGGCTTATATAATAGAAATTAATTTTCTCACAGTTCTGGAAACTAGAAGTCTAAGACAAAGATGCTGGCAGAGTTGGTTTCTCCTGACTCCTCTCTCCTCCACTTACAGATGGCTGCTTCCTGGTGTTTCTCTGTGCACATGTGTCCCTGGCATCTCTTCCTCTTTTTATAAGGCCACCGGTTCTATTGAATTAGGGTTTCATCCTTATGGGCTCATTTAACCTTAATTACCCCCTAAAGACCTTATTTCCAAATACTGCCACATTGAAGATTAGGACTTCAATATATGAATTTTGGTGAAACACAACTCAGTCTATAACATTTTGGTAGCTAGGAATTGGAGAGCAAAATCTGTGTGAGAAAATTATCAGAAAATACTTGATACTATCTTTCTGTCTATATATTTCCTTTAACTTGGTTTTGTTATTTTCCTTTGTAACATGTACTATATTTTTTGTAAGTTACCTTGAATCTTTATTTTATAAGATGGGGACATATAAGTAAATAAATAAATTCTCATCTGTAATAGATTTGTGTGGATATTTGCTGACTGAAATGATCAGGAGGAATTGTATTCCTGGGTGCCAAAAGATGCTGGAGGAGGTCCAATGATTATACTCCTCTGAGTTTCATCAAACAGAAAAGTATTTAGGCTGGAAAGCAGACCAAAAGTTTATTTGAGGTCTTTAGGAATTCTAATCCAGGAGACACAGATTCAGGAGGAACCTGAAGGAGGAGAAAGACAGAGTATATAAAGGCAAAAACCTTAGACTTTTATAAGTTATTTTGAAAGAATTATGACTGATGTAGGTAAAAAATAATTAACATTAGTCTATTTATGATAGGTTACTATGCCAGTTAGGTTGGAGTTCAATGATATAAGCCTCCTTGTGAGACCTGCAACAGGATGTAGCCATCTGTGGCTCACACAATCTACAAGTTCATGTTCTATCCACTTGTGGTTGTGCATTTCCCCAATGGTCTCCTGGTTCCTGACATTCGAGGGCCTTTGACATTACTGAAAAATTTACATCAGTGTTTAGGTTTGTAAGATAGATTAGAATGGAATGGTTCTTTCTTCATTTGATAATAGAATATTAGTGAAATTAGAATTTTTCAGACATTGAAGAGTTATGAAGTTATGTTATATGAAGTTATGTTAAGTCTTCTTTCTCTATTCTAGAAAAACTTACTGAAGAAAGAGCAACAGCCTATCCAACCAGAACCAAAGCCACAACCCAGGTATATCTTTTATGTGATAGCAGAAAAGTATAAATTAATATGCTTGTTTTTGTTTTAATTTGACTTAAGTATCTAGGTTTAAAGAGGTGCACGTGGTTGAAAGCTTGAGTTTATTAACATATATGTTTTAGTGTTTCCACTTAATTTGACTAAGGCAAGCTTTCTGAGTATATTAATGATCATTCAGTAGACCAGGCTGAAACAATATTGTTTACACAGTGTAAACAATAGTGTACAATGTTTCAGCTGTTTTGTTTATTAGAAATGAGAGTACTATAATTTGTTATGGTAAAGGCATGCCTTTCAATGACTCTATGAGAGAATCTTAAGATTGTTTTGCTATTATATGTATCAAATTTGTTGACAACCTTTTGTGAAAAACTACTGATTTTGTGAGATAGTGTGAAGGACAGTGTGAAGGAAAGAAGGGATTGTGGAAAGGTAACAGTGAACATTCTCTGAAGGGCAGGTTTCACAATTGTGCTTTCTTATTCATTGGTAATACATTTATTCATTAACCCACTAAATATTATTTTAGTACTAATGAGGTGCAAAGTGCTATACCAGGCCACGTAGATGCATATAGCAAAGGTGTAGACCTTGGAGACTGAAGTTTGTCAGAGCTACCAGTGTAGAAATCTAAGCCCCCATAAATACGGGTTTATTTAAAGATATTTTTCTCGCTACCTTCTCCTACTTTATATCCTTCTTTATTCCTCCTCTTATTTACTCAAACTATGTGGCTCTACCACGTCCATAATTTCTCCTCCATAAGTCCAAAACTCAGAAAGTTCTAGAAACTGAAAGTTGATGTCACTTAAGGTGGTGCTAAAATTCCCTACTGTCTAAAACCTAATCTCAAGTGACAAGTGACTATGATTATTCAGTTTTTACTTTTCCTATTTTATATGAATATTCATATTTTGCCTACATATTGACATTAATTACATTAGCTAATTAATATTGATGTGTTTTATATTAGGACACCGCCTCAGACCCTGCTGGAGTATTACATAATATATGATAAATATACTATATTAACTTCCTAAAATTTGCAAAAAAATGTAAATTCCAAAATACATATGACTCTAAGTTTCAAGTACTGTGGAATTGCACTTACAGCAAATCTAGGCCAAATATTGCTATGAAAAATGCAATGCAATTATTTAAATATTCAATAAATAACTGTCCAATTTAAGACTGAATATTACCTGAGACCTAGTCTCATAATAAATTTAGCAATAACACTCAGCCTGGGCTTATTGTGTACTTGACTTTGTACTTCCATATAACTCCTATAAGAACACAGTGATATAAGTATTTTGTTATCACCATTTTATGGATGAGAAAAGTGAGCTTGAATTTGTCATTTGAGGTCATCCAGCTAGATATCAATTGACTGGATTCAAAACTAGGTTCTTTAATTACAGACTTATAGCTATAATACTATAATCTAAATGGTGCCAGAATGATCCATAACTAAACTTTCAAGCTCTGTGAAGGCAAGGATTGTTGATTTTGTTTTCATTTTTATTTATACCTCCTGGCATAATCTCTGGAATATAGTAGAGCCCAGAAAATATAATTGCATAAGTGAACAATGTCCAGAGGAAAAGGAAAAGCAGATTTATATCTTGTTGTATTGAGAAAATTTTCTTTCAGTCTTTTATAATTTATTTATTTAACAACAAATATGAAGCACCTGCTATTTTATGTGCTAAAGACAGAGTGAACAAGATAGACTCTTTACATCTATGGTACTTAAAGCCTAGGCATAGTTTTCCATTGTTGTTCGTGATGGAAGGAGTTAAAAATTAGAATTTAAGTCCTATTGAGTGATGGGGAATGAGTGAACACCTCAGTCTTTCCATGAAAGTCTTAGAAGACCAACACCTAAGGAGTGGAAACTATATCTTAGGAATAAGGGATTACCCTTAGTAATAAGGACAAAACAAATTGATTTGCCCTGATGAAAGTATAAAACCAAGCCTTGACAAGTTCAAGATGATAAATTAGTAATTCAGCCACCAAATAGAATGATAAAAAAGCAACATTTCTTCAAGGACAGTAACATAATTCAGAATCTCTATATGTAAAATGTTTAGTATACAATAAATAAAATACTAGACATGAAGAAACAGGAAAATATGGTTTACAGCAAAGAAAAAGATATCCTAGATGTTGGAATTAATGGGCAAAGAGTTTAAAAGCAGCTATTGTTGATATTCAAAAACTTAAAGGAAAAGATGTTTGTAATAATAGAGAATGCCAGTGCAGAAATAGAAACTATAAAAACTAATCAAATAAAAATTCTGAAACTGAAAAATACAGTATCTTATATGAAAGTATCGTTGGGTGGGTTTAACAGCATATTGGGAAAGGCAGTGGAAAAAGTCATTAAACTTGTAAATCAGTAGGAACTAATCTGAAGCAAAGTAAATCATAATTGAGAAACAATATGACTAAAACCTGGCTGACCTATAATTTAATATCAAGTGGACTATAATATATAAATTGGTGTCTCAGAAGGAGAAGAGAAATAATGGCTGAATTTTTCCAAAATTTAATGAAAAACATCTTTACATATCCCAGATCATCAAATATAAGCAAGATAAATACAAGAAAACCCCCATGAAGGTACAGCATAGTCAGAGTTGAGAATCAAAGGCAAAGAAAAATCTTTGGAAATAAGTGAGGGCCCAGGAACGTGGGATACACATTATGAGGAGAGTTATAATTTTGAGAATGATGGATGTCTTCTCCTGAGAAATGATGAAGGACAGAAGGGAATGAAATTATATATTTAACATCCTGAAAGAAAAAATAACTATCAACTGCTAATTCTATATCTAATGAAACTATCACATAACATTAAAGCTGAAAAAGCACTTTTCAGTTAAAGAAATGAGAATTTATTGTCAGCTGATCTGCCCTTCACAAATGTTAAAGGAAGTTCTTCATGCTGAAAGAAAATGACACCTGATGGGAATTTTAATCTACAAGAAGAAATAAAGAACATGAAAATAGAAAATATATGCTGATCAATTTAAAAGAATAATTTTTAAAAATTTATTTAATATTGACCATTTACTTCAAATTTATAACATTATTACCTTACTTATAAGTTAGGTACATGCAAATATGTGTGGCAATAATAGCAACAGAAATTGAGTTATTCTCTTGGAAGTTTCTTTCATTTTATGTATAGCAATATTAACTCTAAACAGTATGATAAGTTAAGAATGCATATTACAATTCCTAGAGCAACCACTAATACAAAAAGGCAAACCTAAAAGTAGTGCAGAAACTAAAATGGCATACCAAAAACTGGTTAACCCAGAAGGCAGAAAAGGGGAACATACTGAGTGAATAAAAAAACAATACAAAATGGTAGACTTAAACCCAACTGTAGTGACATTTATATTAAATATACAGAGTAAACATTGTATTTAAATGTAAGAGCTTGTTGGGCTGGGTAAAAAAGTAAGAACCAACTCTCTACTCTCTCTAAAAGATGAATGTAAAAACATTAATTGGAAATAAAAGGATAGAAAATTATAAACAATGAACAAAAGCTAGCAGAAAAGTGCTAGAGTGGCTATCTTAACATCAAAGTAGTGTTCAAGGACAATTTCCAGAGAAAATAAGATACTTCATTATTATAAAAGAGTCAATTAATCAGAATTAGATAATAATCCTAAATGTGTATGCCTTAGTAATGGAGATTCAACATAAATAAAGCAAAAATAAAGCAAGATTAAAAAATAAACTGGACAACAACTTCATAAATATGCCTGGAAATTTTTCCCATGCCTCTTTTAATAATAGGAAAATTAGTCAAAAGAATAAATAGTGATATTGCAGATTTGAACAAGCTACCAACTAATTTGACCTACTTGACATTTATAGAAGACTACATTCAACAACTGTACAATATACATTCTAAGTGCACATTTAACATTCATTATAGAAATAAGAAAGCAATGAAATAAATAACACAGAAACAGTATAGCAAATTAACACAGCCAAAAGTTGGTTCTTTGAAAACATTAATAAAATTTGTCAGGTCATTACAAAACTGATTAAGACAAAGAAGAGATAAAACACAAATTCCAATATTAAAAATGAAAGAAATGTGAATGACTTCATGCCCACTATGTGCAACAGCAAAGATAAATGGACAAATTCTTTGAAAAAAGATAGCATGCCAAAACTGACACAAGAATAGATAGAAAATTTGGATAACTCATATCTATTAAAGAATTTGTTATCATAAAAACTTTCCCCCCCAAAAAATTGCTTTAAAGAAAAGAATGCTATTTTTTATAATAATTTAATGGTGTTAAGACTAGCTGATCTCCTTATGTAAGTTTTTTTTCTATAAATATTCTTTAACAGGTTAGTTTGACCAGGAAGTCTTTTTTTCCTCATAGCTGTCACTAAATGAAAATCTAGTCCAGCCCTTTCAATGATTAAAAAATTGTACAGTCTGAAAGATGAGTGTTTATTATAGTTATTTTACTGGAGCCAGCTAGCTAATCTGAATGCTAAACATTTTCCTGTACAGTCTACCATCTGTTGCAGGCATAAAGAGCTGTCGAAAGTTTTGCAGGAATATCTAGCTGATTTTTGCAGGGATATCTTAAATATTTTAGAGAATGATGGCTAAAGGGAACTTTAGAGGTCTTTTGATTTAATACTTTAAGTTTCTAGTTGAGAAAACTGAGATTCGAAAAGATTAAGTGACTTTTAGGTTCAAAAGTAAGAAAAGAGAACTGTTAACTAGGATCCAACCCTTAATTCTCAGTACTTTTTTTTTAATGTTTGTTTATTTTGAGAGGTGGGTGGGGCAGCAAAGAGGGAGAGAAAGAATCCCCAGCAGGCTCTGTACTGTCAGTGCAAAGCCTGACACAGGGTTCTATCCCACAAACTGTGGGATTATGACCTGAATGAACCAAGATCAAGAGTCAGATGTTCAACCAACTGAGCCACTTAGGCAC